AGTTGACCCAGACTCTGAGCCTCTCTGAAGTGCACTTCTTTAGTGTGTTGTATGCACTTACAGGCTCACCAGTAAGTTCTAAAGGTTAAAATATTGAACTGCCGGTTCTGGGGGGATGGAAGCATATAACTTGCCAGGTCAGGCCCTTACATGGAGCTTTACCCCTCATTCTTCTGTGAGCTAGTGCTGGCAATATAAGAAAACTGACTTACAGTACATGGCCTCACATACCCATTATGAAATGTGAAATAAGACTCTTAGTTGAAGGTTTATTTGATCTCTTAACGCCAGATAGGTGGTCTCATGCAGTTCAGTTGCACATTGTTCACTCTTGAGAAACAAGCAGGGACTTTTGGCCCAAAACCTGCACTCCTTAAGGCTTTGCCATATGTTCTTGTCCCCATAGCTCAAGCCCACACTGATGGGACTTGCACTTCCAACATACACCCTTAGACTTTTTAGAGGAAGACTAGGCAATCCAGCTGTAGGAGAGTCCTCCACATTCAGATCACTTGGGACCATGGAAAGGAGTGTTATACTGTGCTATTATCCCCCCATGTACACTATTATATGGTGGGTAATTTGCAGGGCACAGTGTTTGGGGAAATTAGATGCATGATTTTAGTATAGTTAGGATTGATGGGTCCAGGCCAAATCCATATCTCTTATTTGCTTGTTGTGTAGAGAAGTAGAGGAATGTTATGGAAGCTTTTGTTTACATCTTAGAGAACTTATTTTTATTGCTCTAATGTATTTGATAGACTCTTGCCCTGTTCCTGCTGAAGTAAACAAAATCCTTTTAAGTTAAGGAATGTTCTTTACTTCAGGTAGAATGAGATGTAGAAAGTAATTAGTTTTCTGTTTTGTCAACTACCTTAACTCATTTTTAAACATTTTGTATGAATTACAAACTTTGGGTCTTGTACAATCTTTGAAAGTATGTTTTAAATCATGGGTTCTCAAGCTTTTTCTTTCTGAGCTCCTGCCCCCCCCCCCCCCCAACATGCTATAAAAATTCCATGGCCTAGCTGTGCTACAACTGTTTTCTGCATATAAAAGCCAGGGGTGATGTTAGGGGGTCTCAAGGAGGGCAGTTGCCCAGGGCCCCACACCGCAGGAGGCAACACAAAGTTGCTCAGCCTTTGGCTTCAGCTACAGGTGGCAGGACCCTGGGCTGCAGTCCTCTCTGGCAGGACTTCGACTTTCTGCCCTGGGCTCTAGCAAATCTAATGCTAGCCATAGTTGATGAACTCCTTGAAACCCAGAGGGCCCCAGACTCCTTGTTGAGAACCACTCTTAAATAAGGCTAGACTCTCAAGCAGGGTAAATCAGTATATTTGACTTCAGTGGCACTAAATTAAGAGGAGGTAGCCCTGGGCAACCTCCTCATCTATTTTCTGTTGGCAGAGTGAGTACCTTAATCTGTCAAACAAAGCAAGTACACAATGGGAAAGCTTTGCTAGAGCCAGGTCAGAGACGTATGCTGTGGACCTAAGTACTCCTATCGCACTTACGTAGCTTGTATAAGAACCTAGAGAACCTTCCTGCAAATGATTTGAGTGTGATGTAGGAAGAACACCAGTGGCACCTCCTGCTGGCCATCCTGGGTGGGATTAGATCCACCAGCTTTTGCTCTCCCTGTTATCTTCTCCTGTCCTGTCTTGCTCTGCTGCCCTGCTTGCTCCCAGGTCTGTAGCTTCCTCTCTGACCAGATGACTAGAGTCCTCTCCTTGTGGGGAATTCAGTTTTTCTAGACCTGTTGTCCAGCTGGCACCTCCAGTGCCCTTGCCATTCCTCAGTGGCTGGTAGGGGAACCCAAGCTCACCCTGGGTTGCAGCCGTAGGGCCCTATAACAAGCAGCCACAGTCCCATCTCTTGCTGCTGTTTCTCTGGGCTCCTTCCTACATATCTGACTTTCCCCCCTCTCTGGGTTTGCCAGCCTCTAACTCCCTTCACTCAGAGAGTGACTGCAGCCTATTTCCCTGCAGCTTTTCCCAGCAATAGCCCCTCTTCCTGCATAAATGAGCCTGTCCTTACTTAACTGTTTCCAGCCTAAATCTCCTGTTTGCAGCCTGATTAGCTGATTAGGCCCACCTGGCTTAATTCAGTTCTTGCAGGGCTACTGTGGGGAATCCATCCCATCACAAGTACTTAAAGAACTAGCTAAAGCAATATCAGAACTTGTAGGAATTATTTTTGAGAACTGGCAGACAGGTGAGGTCCCAGAAGACTTGAGAAGGGCAAATATGGTACCTATCTTTAAAAAGGGGAACAACAAGGACCTATGCACCAGTCAGCCTAACTTCAATACCTGGAAAGCTACTGGAACAAATTATTAAACAATACATTTGTAAGTACTTGGAGATTAATAAGGTTATAAGTACTAGTCAGTATGGATTTGTGAAAAAATAGTCATGCCAAACCAACTTAATTTCCTTCCTTGACAGGGTTACTGGCCTAGTAGATATGTGACATCTTGATTTTAGTGAGTCTTTTGATACAGTCCTACATGATGATCTCAGAAGCAACTTAGGGAAATGTGTCTAGCTGAAATTACTAAAGTGATTGGAAGATCATAATCAAAGAGTAGTTATCAACGATTTGCTGTTAAACAGGGAGGATGTAGTTGGGGGGGGGGGTCCTGCAGGGTCAGTCCTGGATCCAATGCTGTTCAATATTTTCATTAATGGCTTGGACAATGGTGTGGGATGTGTGCTTATAAAATTGGCAGATGACATCAACGGTGGAGGGGTGCAAGCACTTGGGAGGAAAGGATTCAAAACAACCTTGACAAATTGGAGAATTGGTCTGAAATCAATATGATACTGAATAAAGAAAAGTACAAGGAAGGGAAAAAATCAAATGCACAACTACAAAATAGGACTAAGTGGTAAGGTGGCAGTACCACTGAAAAGGATCTGGGGGTTACAGTCAATCACAAATTGAATAAGACTCAACAATGCAATCAGCTGCAAAAAAGCTAATATAATTCTGGGATGTATCAATAGAAGTGTCATATGTAAGATGGAGAGGTAATTGTCCCACTCTATGTGGCTCTGGTGAGGTCTCAAAGGTAGTACTGTGTCCAATTCTGGGTAACACTCTTTAGGAAAGATGTGGACAAATTGAAGAGAGGGTCCAGAAGAGAGCAACAAAAGTCATAAAAAGTTTAGAAACCCTTACCTATTAGAAAAGGTTAAAAAAACAGGTATGTTTAATCCTGAGATAAGACTGAGAGGGGACCTGATAACAATCTTTAAATACGCTGAGGGCTGTTATAAAGAGGACAGGGTGATCAATTGTTCTCCATGTCTACTGAAGGTAGGACAAAAAGTAATGGGCTTAATCTGCAGCAAGGGAGCTTTAGGTTCGATATTAGGAAAACCTTTCTAATGATAAGGGTAGTTAAGTTCTGGAATAAGCCTACAAGGTAGGTTATGAAATCCCCATCATTGGAGATTTTTAAGAATAGGTTGGACAAATACCTCTCAGGGGATGGTCTAGATTTACTTGGTTCTTCCTCAGTGCAGGGGGCTGGACTTTATGGCCTCTTGATGTCCCTTCCAGCCCTACATATCTACAATCCTATGACCTCCTTTGAGATTTATCAGTCAGTTTGTAAAAAAAAAATTACTTCATTTAATGATATTATAAATAGCATTTGTATGATGATAAAAGGATTTGGTGCATTGGCAAGGGGGGGGAATTTCAGCTGAAAATAATCAATATGGTTTATTCATAGCACCAATAAAAATAACAGAACACTATTCTTGAAAACAATCAAGGGATACCCAGAAAAGTGTTCTGAACTGATATTTTACTCCCTCTCTCTGCATCTTGGGAAATTGTTCCAATGGTTAATTACTCTCACTGTTAAAACAGTATGCCTTATTTCCAATTTGAATTTGTCTAGCTTCAACTTCCAGCCATTGGACTGTGTTATACCTTTCTCTGCTAGTCTAAAGAGCCCATTGTTATACAGGAGATGATGCAACCAGGCAAGAACTGCCCCACTAACATTTGAGTGAAATAGATAAGAAAAGAAATGACACAGTAATGCAGATGAGTGGCATGTATCAACTTCTGCGGTCTCATATCAGGTATATATTAAAAGGGTTCTTTGAAGCAAAGGAGATTCAGGTTAGATATTAGGAAGAACTTTCTACTACAAGGTAAGCACTGGAACAGGCTACCTAAGGGGATTGTGGAATCCTCATCTGATCACACAAAGAACAAGGTTAGACAAACATCTCTCAGGAATGTGCAAGGTATGTTTAGTCCTGTCTTGGGTTGCAGGGCATGGACTAGATTACCTTGTGAGGTCTCTTCCATCCCTACATCCTAAAATGGGAAGGAGCTTCTTCTGAGGAACTTGTAATCAAAAGCTGTTCTCCATTTTCAAGGCAGTGCTTTCATATTGAAGCTAAAAATGTTTGAAAAGTCATTTTATTATATGTTTAAGATGTACAGTCATCATTTTCACACAATTTTCTTTTTCATTAGCAAAAAGATGTAAGCTTCTATTTTTCACACTCACCCCAAAATACTGGGTGATGATAATGACATGATGGAACTGTTTTAACTAATTCATAATGATGAAAAAGATATGCAATTGTTATCTGGTAACATCTTGTTTCTAAGATCATTACTGAATACTTTATGTACAGGTTGGAGAATGTCTCCAAATATTTTCCATAATGAAAGTGAGCTCATCATTGCGTGCATCATACAGTCTGCTAATTAACCAAGGGCTAAATTTAAAAATGCTGTTTGGTATGACTGCCACTGACAACTGTCATGACAAAAAACAGGTGCATGTTTACTACCAGCATCTGCTGTCATCATGCATCTTGTGTTTGCAGTAGAATACTATAGATCACAGATGCAAGCATTATTAATATGATTGGTTTTAAAACCACACTGCAAAGCACAATTAAAACGCAGTATACAGCATAAATGATGCACAGTTCTCAGCTGACATGTGTTTACTGCAGTCTTACATAGCCTAATGCATGTACAAACTGATATTACATTAAAGAGTGTAATGCAACAGAAAATAACTTCACACACTGTTTAACTCCATCTCCCATATATACTTTTCTCTGTATTGTTCAAACAGTTGTATCTCAGCAGCTGTCAATCACAGATTCATTATTAAAAAGCAGATGGTAAATGCACAGGGTCAGGAGGAAGACTGGCTTGTTTCTTGGTGCTGTGACTCTTTAGATAGAACTGTAATCTCTTCTGATTTCATTGCGTCAGACAGGAAGCTGAGCTCATTACACAGTGTCTCATACCTGAAAGCCATTCGGATTTGTGCCACATTTGTCTTTCGAATGTCATTTCCTGCAGGCCCTTCTTTATAATAATTTACCCCTAAGAATTTTTGTTTTTCCTGGGAACAAAATAAAGTTTAAAGCATTATGGAAAAATCAGTTTTAAATTACTTTTGATTTTTTACTACAAGTAAAAGCATCTTTTCAAGTGAATGGCACTGAGGATAAGTGAAAAGAACCCACAATGAGCTGGCCGTGTAGTTTATGATGTTTAGCCATTCACCCTCTTCTTATGTAGGTAGCTTGCTTGTATTAAGCTGCTTTGCCAATGCAGTTCAATGCTGGTTGGTTCAACCAAGATATGCTTTTTTCCCGCCTATCTGTTTTTCCATTTCTCCTCAATTACCTTTTTACTTAAAGTTAGAATCCTTTAAAAAGTTAATGCCACTAGCCTCAGCAGAGTTCTTTGGTCTTATATGAGCTGGTTTACACAATAGCTTTCTATCAGAGCAGAATATGTGACATGCTCATGTGTGTATTTTTTCTTCTATTAGCTATGATAGTAAAGCTGCTCTGTTACAGCCTGACCCAAAACCCACTGAAGTTAATGGGAAGCCCCTTTGGTTTTGTAGGGCTTTGCCTCAGGAACTTACCACCTCAGGAGTTTAAGAAGAGAGATTTAGATACCCTTGGCAAGTTGCCATTTTTTTATTTCTTGGGGAAAAAATGATGACAGTGGTCACATCAGCCCACCAGAGGATGCAAGCTAAAATGGCAGTGGAATATGCACCACGGAGACATTCTTGTGCCAGCTTCTCAAAGGGATGGTCCAAAGAGATAGAGATAACTACTTAGAAAAGATTAAGTAACTTCTCTAAAATAGCTTTTATGGAGAGAAATTCATAGATTTTTAAGGCTTGAAGGGATCATTAGATCATCTAGTCTGACTTCCTATATAAAACAAAGGACATAGAATTTCACCCAGTTACCCCTGCAATTGACCCCAATAACTTCTGTTGATTAAAGCAAGTCTTCACAGAGACAATGCCCATCTGAATCAACTACTTCATTCACATTAGGGTAGGCAACAGTAAAAAGAAAGGCTTAAGGAAGAAAAGTAAATGACTGAATATATATGGAATCATGATAAAACCCTGGTATCTTCTTGCAACATACAGTCTATTTCAAGAAAAAAACTGAAGAATTTGTCGTATCCACAGAGTTAAGTGAATGGTCCACCTACTACTGTTTAGTCTATTTAAATGTAGACAGCAAACTGACTTTTTATAAGATGTTTTATATCCCTGATAATTTTTTTTTAAAAGAACTAAACAGGAACCATGTAGGATTGTTTTAGACAGTGCCAGATTTTCAAGAACCCAGCACACATAACTGGGGTCAGGTTTTCAGAAGAGCTCATTTCCCATGTAGTGAGCAAATTATCAACAAGGTTGCAAATTTTAGGAGTGATTTCTGCAGTGTGATGTTCACCTGTCTTATGAAGAACTGGAGTGCGACCATAAATGTATTTCACGTATACTACTAGACAACTCACACTGTAATGAACTCAGCACAGATCAATAGGAACCAAAAGTCAAATCAGTGACTATCTATTACATTAAAGTCTTTGTATACCTGCATCAACCCCCTGAGAAATCCAAGTATGTATACATGTAAAATGTAACTGCCTGCTCCCAGGAGATGATGTGAAAATGAGATCTCCTATCTCTTGAGGTTAATCTGGGAAGCAATGTACTATATGCTCAGTAAAATAACTCCAAGGAGATGCAGCATCTCACTTTCTCGAAAATTCCTTGAAGCCAGAGGTATCTCACACACACACACACACGTCATTTTGTAGTCCACAAATATTTCATTTAATCCTTGCATACCTTTACATTCACAAAAAGTCCAAGCAATGACAACGCGTGTCTTGCAATAAACCAAATTTACCTTATGTGATAACCCACTTTGTATTACGCTGTTTCTTGCTAGCTCACAGGAGTCACACGTGCTCAGTTTCCACACTTGAGCTGCTATGGCATATTCCTCCATAAGTGCTTCCTGTACCATCAGAAATATGATTTGTTAGCCTATACCCTATTTAGTAATTGTGTCTGCTATGTAATCATTTCCAGGTAGGAAACTGTCTTATGCTTATTAAACAATTTTGTTAGATGGACACAATTTTCAAGTTTTTAGGTTTTAAACTCAATTACTGGAGAGTGAATGTATTTGTCTATTAATTAATTCAAATTCATAGGAATTGGCATCCAAATTCCTTAGGTTGCTTTGCAAATTGCAGTCTTAATGCTTAATGAATACACCAAGAAAGTTTCTCTCTTCTGATCTGACACTTTTGAACTCAACAAGGAGGCAGATACTGACCACCTGAGAATTCCTCCAACAGTGGGTAGCTCTCAACTGGTGTAAAGTTTGTGCAGCAAGCTCCTGCACAAACTGCTCTGTATTGTAGCCACATTGCGGATGGGGAGGGGAAGGGCAGAGTGGAGCAGACTAGAGCACTGCTGATCCTCAGAGGGCAAAAGTTAGAGTTGCCCATAGGCTGCTCTAATTCATACTCATTCACAGCGTAGACCAGCCCACAGAATCAGGGAGCTGTAACCAGTTTCCAGGCACTCTCTCCTCTCCTGCACTCAGTGGAACTCAGAGCAGGAGAGCATCAAGCCCAGAACATTGAATGAACAGTTTGTAGTTTATCTTCAGAGACTTCAAATGACATTTTTTTCAGTAAACTTCAACCACATTCATTAGAAAGGAAACAGGTCTGCCCTGGCACCCCACCTCTAAAACATTGGAGCTCTCCATCCGCTTGAGCTTCCTCTGTACTTGAGGAGCCAGTGGCTGGAAGAGGCAGGAGTACAGACATGTAATTTGGCAATTAGTAATTTCCCCATGAAACTAAACAGTTTTCAAAGGAGTGGGAATGAGGGGTATGGGACATTGAGAGGTATGTAAAGACATGAGGTGTCACACACTATGCCACGAGAAATAAAGTGTTTCAGGCCACTTTTATCTTTAAGGTGAATTTGTTAACCATGCTAAAGTTTTCAGTTGTGCTTACCTTTGTATAATGGAATTGCATAGGATCGTCTGTAGAGAGGGAAATGTGAAGTCCCTTATGTAGAAATTCCCGTAGTGGATTTTTTGAATACTCAAGGAATAGGCTATTGTTGCTAAGTGGAGACATGGCAATGGGAATTTGTGCAAGATAATAAAGATACTGAAGAACTGGACTCTGTACAAAAACAATACAGATACTCATTATTTAATCACCCTGTGAGATAACAGGAAAGGAGGTTTTCAATCAGAGGAAATGGAAACAGCCTCGTTGAATATGACTGTGGAAGGATTATGACCAGAAAAACTGAAGTCTGCACCGAACTGCCTTTTGTGGCTTGACTTTTTCACAGATTTTTTTCAATATTTTCTAAATGCAACTTTAAAAAAAAGAAAAAGAAGAAGAAATAATGGCATTTAAAGCAACAAATATTCTACATTTTGGATGCACTGAGACAATATTCTCATTAAAACACAATTATTTACCGAGCCTAGTGATTGTACATGATTCTGTCAGAGAGCTCTGTTCCATACTAACAGAGTCCCTACCCAAAAGAGCTTAAATTCAGATGCACCACAGGTACATTACAGAACACTAATTATATCCAAACCACTTCACAGAATAGGTCAATTTGGTGGTGGTAGTGGGGGTGTGTGTTTAAAGAACAGAAGGAAGGAGCTTTCATTTGTCTGAGGGCATAAATATGGGTGCACATGTAATGCATTCTCATCTGTATTCATGACTATTTGGGGCTTGTAATCCCACTAGTGTACTGCACCACACTTATCAGCTCTGCCAGGTTTATTCCATTCTTGGCCATACAGGAATAGAGCTGACAGGCTAAAGAGAAGAACAGCATAATGTAGTGACTGTGTACAAAATATAAGACACTGCCTGGGTCTAATTTTAGGACTGTCAGCCCGAATAAAGACTTAATAGGATATGACTTCAGGTCAAAATTTTCAGTTTTGAGTATCTAACATTAGACACACATCCATATTTAGGCATCTAAGTTAGTGGGTTGATTTTCACAGGATCTAAGCACGAGCAGTTCCCACTGATTTCAATTGTGTTCTGAATTCTTTTAAATAACTTGTTTTAGATGCCAAATTACAGGAGAACTAGATTGGGGGAGGGGCAGAATGTTTTCCCTTTCAAAATGTCAATATTTCAGAAAAAATTCTAGAACTGAAACTTTTTGGCCATAACCAAAAATTTTGGGAGATGTGGCTTGGCAACTTATCCCAAAAGAGACTGCAGGGCCTGAGGCACCCAAACCACAACTTCCACGAAGCATTACGGTGGCATTTCTTGTTTTTTTTTTTCAACAAAAAGTTGAAATATCCATGGAAAGCTTACGCTTTACATAAAAAAATGGGTTTTGTCAAAAACCCAATTTTCCATCAAAAATCCATTTCAATGAAAAATTTCCAATCAGCCTTAGGGAACCATTTTGTGGGGAGATGCAAGCAATTTTTCCTAATCTTAGAATAGTCATAAGAGATTTATTTTTAATTCAAAGAATTTACATGTGAACTATGGAGGGATTCTTATTTCAGTCTTCCTAAGTAAATCCCCATTTATAAAGACAGATGTATTTTTACCAGAATGACTACTGACTTGATACAAATCTGCCACCCGGTGGCCAATTATTTTCACAAAGATTTTCTTAATGGATGAAAGCCTGGTCCCCACTGACGTCAGTGGGAATTTTGCTATTTACTTCAATGTGGCCAGAATTTCATCTTCTATATTTGCCTAGATTCTTCAGGAGGGTGAGAGGTCATGTAGAGGTGTTTTTATTAATTGATAAGTCTGATGTATTTGAGTTTTTTCAATAAATTAAGACTATGATAAATGAACAAGAGCAATACCTTCTTCAGGAGTAATCCATGAGAAATGTTGTCAGATGTCAGAAAGGCTGACACCAGATGAGTGATGGACCCAGCTTCTCCACAATGAGGGCGAAATAGGAAGGTACTCATGCCTCTTTCCCTGCAGAAATTAAAAATAAGTCCTACCCCAAGATAACTGGTGTCTTTTCACCCATTTTGCATGTAAGTTCCATTAATATCAATTGAAAAATATCCACAAGAATAACTATACACATCAATTTGGGAAAACAGATCTAAGAGTAATTTTTTACTTCACTAGACTCAGATGTGCTTAAACTACAATTACTTGTGTCTTAACCCGGTACCATTTCTTCCATAAACCATAACAAACCCTGCACAAACTGAAATTACCTGCTAATCTTTGTAGATGCTCAAAACATGAAAATGATTAAAAACATACATTTTTGAATTGGCTGAGTATAAAGACGTTCTGGGATGGAATCTTAATTACAAGTCATACTCATAGAATCATTTGAGGGTATATTTCATCTTTGACAACTTTGCATATGCTACCAGGTTACTCAAAAATATAAAATAGTTCTGCAATGGGGTACCAATGTTTGCTTCAAAGGTGTTGATTCTGTTGAGACAGGGTTAACAGGGTGCTGCTGACTCATTGAAGCAGGTGGATCATTACTGTTGCCAAGATACCAGGAAGTTTAGTGTGGCTCCCTAGAGGGAGAGGCTCTAGGATGGCAACTGAGCAGTCTTGAGGAAGGAACATTCAGTTACAGGCAAGCTAGAGTTGAACTTTCTTGTATTTTTGTTAATTACTGTGGTAATAAAAGGAAACCCCAGTCAGAGGGTTATTTTGGAATCTACATCATATATTAATTTTGTTTCAGAGTAGGTTGGGAAATATACCTAGTAACCATCTTCTGAACCATAATAAACCCCAAAGATTGGGGGGAGACAACACATACATACACACACACACACACACACCCCTATTTTCTGAAAAGAAATAGTTCAGACGCAAAACAAGATGGATGAATGTAGGAGAACTAAGTGAAATATTTCTAAATTCATAGTGGAAGGAAAGACTGTGTGTAGCAGACAGACAGCCAACAAGTAGGCAGCCAGATGTTTGATATAAGTTCAAGGAGATTTAAAAGAGTTTTTCTTGTTGTTTTTCTTGATTTTATGGTGTACTGAAAGAAAGAAACGTTTGGGGTTGGGAAGGGGGAATACTGTTTTAAATGTTACTCAGGAAATGCTTGGAAGATGATAAGTTAAAATGACGCTAATGCTTTGTTAGTTTATAGCATCTGCCATGGGAGGATCCCAAAGCACCGTACAAATGATAATGAAACAAATCTCACATCACTTCTGTGAGTTAGGGAAATATTATTACACCAGTGCAGTAGATAACCTCTCTGTGCCTGTTTAAGTGACTACCTGAAGGTCCATATACATCAAAATTTGGTGTTGACAATTTCTGTCTCTTCCCTTTTAATTATCTTCTGGAAATCACCTTTATAACCATTCCAAACTTTAGCCTCTTCTCAGAGCTAAGGACAATGAGAGTCAATTGGCCTATGCCAACAGATGAGACACCTTGCCTGGAGAGCATTAATTAAGCTAAAGCTAAAATACACAGTTCCTAGGAAAGGAAAGCTCTTATGCTTGATAAAGATTTTTCCAACTTCTGTTAATTTCTCAAACCAAAGACTCCCATAATTTTACTTATGGATGAGACTTCCATCTCTCTTGGTCTAGCTAAGGAGAGCCACGGCCAGGCAACAGACAAGTGTAACTGTCCCCTTTCTGTGTGGAGTACCTAATTGTCTCGTATGCTAAATAGAAACTGTGATGCTGGCTTGCCAGGTGTCAGCTCATGCCAAGGCCCAGGGCCTCTCTGAACACCGACAAATGCATAGCTAGAAACCATGTTGGCTTACCTGTGGGTTAGTATAGTTAAAACAGATATTAGCATTCTAAGAATGTGTGTTAAATGTTTAGACTTTATGGAATACTTGTAGGATGCTGCACATAATAATTCTACTTATAATATCTGTATCCCATGGTGTAAAGTTATATTGAGTGTTTGCTTTGTAAACCTCTATAATTGTGTAACTCACTAAACAAGAGAAGACACGTTAATTTAGAATAAAGTGCTCGCCCTGCAGACAAGAGGGCCTTTGAAACCAAATGAGCCATTGGTTATCAAAAGGTTCAAAATGAGCCATGAGATATCAAAAGGTTATGTTGTTGATTGCCCTCCCCACTTTTGTCAGACAGACACATTTGTTCCATCAGTTTGGACTTTGGGGAGAATAGGATAAAAATCCTTGACAAGAAGAAACTAGGTCTCTTTATGCTGTCTGGACTCTGAGTGACAAAGATTCCTAAACATAAGCAAGAGATCCCCATGCTCCTTGGCATGGGTCAGCCCTAAAGGGCATAAATAGCTGCTTAATATAGAAGCTTATATTACCTTTCTAAACCAAAGACTAACACATTTGTGTGTGTTTCCTGTTTTAACCTTGTAAATAATACTCTTTTTTTTAGTTAATAAATCATTAGTTTGTTACAGGAGTAGCTACAGGTGTTGTCTTTGGTTTGAGATATGAGTATAATCAACCTGGGATAAGTGATTGGTTCTTTGGGACTGGGAATAATCTGAATATTGTTGTGATTTTTGGTATAAAATAACCATCACGTAGTCCAGCTTGCCTGGGTGGAAAGATAAACTGGCATGCCCAAGGGGACTATCTGTGACTCCATGGTAAAACTGTTACAGTGCAGTTCACACTTGTTATTGTGAAGGTAAAATCTAATTATAGAACATACAGCCAGTTTGGGGTTTCTGTTGTGCTTTTTGACAGTCTGCCCTGAGGTTGGCACGCATGGTCGTGAGCCACTCCAGACAGTGTGACATGAACCAAAGAAGTGGAAAAACAAAATGGAGCTTTCAACCAGTTAGGAACAGCCTGTCTGGTGACCCAAAAACCTGAAAGTTCCAGAGATCAAAATGTCCAAGCTTATATATTCCACCCCAACTTAGAAACTATTGATAATGTTTGCCTGATAAGTCAGAAACACATCTCTCTGAATAATCTGTCTGGTTTCTCTAACATCTCAAATCCTATAGTAAGCCTGGAAAGATGTTAAGTGAAAAGCATTCGATATAATTAGGGCTGTCACTTAATCGCAGTTAATGCAAGCAATTTAAAAAATAGTTGCAATTAATTGTTGTTTTAATCACACTATTAAATAACAATAGAATACCAATTTAATTTTATTATATATGTTTTGGATATTTTTCTACATTTTCAAATATATTGATTTCAATTACAGCACAGAATAACTGTACAGGCTCACTTTATATTACAACAGTGCCATGTGAATGCCTGTTCCCACTTTCTTGTGACATTGTAAATAAGAAGCCGGCAGTATTATCTCCTGTAAATGTAAACAAACATGTTTGTCTTAGCAATCGGCTGAACAAGAAGTAGGACTTGCAGGCTCTAAAGTTTTACTTTTTGAGTGCACTTATGTAAAAAAAATAATTCTACATTTGTAAATTGCACTTTCACAATAAAGAGGTTGCACGACAGTACTTGTATTAGGTGAACTGAAAAATAGTATATCTTGTTTGTTTTCAAACAGTGTAAATATTTGTAAAAAATAGTATAAAGTGAGCACTGTAAACTTTATATTCTATGTTGCAATTGAAATAAATATATTTGAAAATGTAGAAAAAAATCCAGAAATATTTATAATAAATGTAAATGTGTATTCTATGATTGTTTAACTGTGTGATTAAAACTGTGATTAATCACAACTATTTTTAATCGAGGTTTTTTTTATCATTTGACAGCCCTAGATAGAACCAAAGAATGTATGGTTCATGTTCTATATATTTAAAGATTGTAAGGGATTTTGTTTCATTTCTTTGAAAATGGTGGTTGCACCCTAGAAGTGGTAAGAACTGTATGGCACTAGAAGGAAAAAGGAATGTTGAAAGATATCTAGCCAGGGTATAATTTCGGAATATTAAGAGAAATTGCTTAAAGAGCAGGATCCCAATGAATAGTCAGGACAAATAATGAAATACAATCTATTAAATGAATTAAACCATCTGACTGAAGGAAGCATTAAAGAAATTTATTATACACTGATGCCATCTACTGTATATCAATGGAAACATCAGAAAAACAGAGACAGCTGAGAGCCACAGGGCAACTGACCAACAGAAATCAGAGGCCCCCTCTGAAGAGCCCTGAAATCAGGATACACAAAACTGAGGTCACTGTATGGGACCCCAGAGTTTTTCCAGTAGAGGTGTTAAGCAGATCTCAAACGCCTCTCCCCTCCTCATTCAGGGTCACAAGACCAAAAGTTGACTGAACTCGCAAAGAAGCTGCAGAATCCCCAGTGTGATCAACATCTGGACCAGCTATGTGGAAAGGATTCTCCCTTATTCCAGGGTTAATAGGATAAGAAGCGGTGAGATTTCATTATTAAGACTGAATTTCCCTATCTGTTTTTTAACATAAAAAACAGAAGATTATCTTGTTGAGGCTACACTCTTAAGTGAGACTTCAAGTAAAAATACTTTAGCTCACTGGTGAGCAACCTGTGGCCCGCAGGCCACAGGTTGCTCATCAGGGTAATCTGATTGTGGGCCTCGAGACATTTTGCTGACATTGACCGTCCGCAGGCACGGCCCCCCACAGCTCCCAGTGGCCGCGCGGTTCACTATTCCCAGCCAATGGGAGCTGTGGGAAGTGGCGGGCTGCAAGGATAATGGAGCAAATAATCAAACAATTTATAAGCATCTAGAAGATAATAAAGTGATAAGTAACAGTCAACATGCCTTTGTCAAGAACAAATCATGTCAAACCAACCTAATATTCTCCTTTGACAGGAGAACAAGACTGGTGGTTGGGGAGGAAGAGGAGAGAAGAAGTAGATGTGATATATGTTGACTGTAGTAAGCCTTTTGATACTGTCTCGCATGACTTTCTCATAGACAAATTAGGAAAAAATAGCCTAGACCAGCAGTTCTCAAACTGTGGGTCGGACCCCAAAGTGGGTCACAACCCCCTTTAAATAGGTTCGCTAGGGCTCGCTTAGCCTTGTTTGGCTACAGGGCTGAAGCCCAAGCCCCACTACCCAGGGCCGAAGCCAAAGCCCAAGGGTTTCAGTCATGGGCAGCAGGACTTGGGCAGCAGGCCTGCATGGGGCTGAAGCCCTTGATCTTCAACTTTGGCCTGTCTCCTGCCCAGAGCGGTGGGGCTCAGGCTTTGCCCCCCAACCCCTCGCCCAGGGCAGTGGGGCTTGTGTGGGCTCAGGCTTCGGTCCCTCCTTCTGGGGTCATGAAGTAATTTTTGTTCTCAGAAGGGGATCGCGATGAAATTAAGTTTGAGAATCCCTGTCCTAGACTAACCTACTATAGACAACTAGTTGGAATCTATACTTTGAATAGTTATCAATGGCTCACAGTCAAGCTGAAAGGGCCTATCGAGTGGGATCCCACATGGATCTGTCCTGGGTCTAGTTCTACTCGATATCTTTACAAATGATTCAGATAATGGCATAGAAAATACATATATAAAGTTTGCGGACGATACCAAGCTGGGAGGGGTTTCAAGTGCTTGGAAGGACAGGATTAGAATTTGAAGTGGTCTTGACAAACTGGAGAAACAGTCTGAAATAAGATAAAATAAGGACAAATGCAAAGCACTACACTTAGGAAGGAATAAATCAGTTGCACAAATACAAAATGGGAAATGACTACCTAGGAAGGAGTACTGCAGAAAAGGAGCAGAGGGTTATAGTGCATCACAAACTAAATGAGTCACCAATGTAACCATGTTTCAAAGAAGTGAACATCAGTTTGGGATGTATTAGCAGGAGTGCTGTAAGCAAGACACAAGAAGCGATTCTTCCACTCTACATGGCACTGATAAGGCCTCAACTGGCATACGGTGTCCAGTTCTGTGTACCACACTTTGGGAAAGATGTAGACAGGCTGGAGAGAGCACAGAGGAGAGCAACAAAAATGACTAAAGATCAAGAAAACAAGACCTACAAGGAAAGCTAGACAAATCAGATTTTTCTCACGTTTTGGGAGGAGTGAGAGGACATAACAGTCTACAAGTATGTAAAAGGTTGTTATAGCCCTTCTCTTCTATAAATTGTTCTCTTTAACCACTGAAAACAAGACAAGAAACAAACAGGCTTAAGTTGCAGTAAGGAAGACTTAGGAAGTTTTTCCTCATATCTAACCTGTCAGGGTAGTTGTTAAGCACTGGAACAAATTGCATAGGGAGGTTGTGAAATCTCTGTCTGTTGGAGGTTTTTAAGAACAGGTTATACAAACGCCTGTCACGGATTGTCTAGAGAATACTTAGCCCTGCCTCAGTGCAGGGGACTGGACTAGACTAGACGACCTATCAAGATCACTTCCACACCTACATTCCTATGATGAGTCCATTAAGGAGCATAAAATCAACTTAATTTCCTGAGCTGAACTTGGTTATTGTGTAAAAGTAAGTATCATTGTTGTATAACTTTTAAAGTAATAGAATAACATCTTGTCAGGAAGATGCATGAGACCCAGTAGCTGGACAAGATTACATTACTGAACTGTTTAACCAAACACAAGTACAAAACTTAACAAAAATTAACTGACCATGTGCACCATTTATGGGAGTTATGGACTAACTACCATAACCGGTTCTTCAGGGAATATCAACAAAGGGAAATTGCCTAATCTTATTAATAATGAACAAGATGGTATTGTCCTCGGTATATAACAGAGGGTACTATAAACTGGCAATGCATTAAACTGTATAGGGAAATTTTTCCATTTAGCACAACTTGTAATTTGGGGTCAGTGACACCGCATCTTATTTGAGGCATATGTTATTAAGAACATTTGTGCTCAGTGTATATTTCTTCTATGGTATCTTTACCAATATTGGACCCTGACACTGCAATACTTGATAACCTTCTGTACGGACAGTAGCCAATTTATCTGGAAGAACACCTCAAGAAATGCCTAGATTTTCCTCAGCTACTGGTGTATCACTCAGCAGCACAAACCTGGAGGGTACCACATACGGCTTTGTTGTTCCATTAAGGGATATCAATATATATGTAAACATGGTGTTTTTGACATCGTGAGTACTGTGTGTGCCCACAACAGTTTGAATCAGTTCAATGAGACAAAAGCTAACCATTCCTGTCTCCTGCCCTCTCAGGTTTACCAAATGGTGACAATTAGCAGACCTACAATATGGAGGGACACTACTGTTTAGTAACCAGCTATAAAAATTACATATAAAAACCTTACTAGTAACGTTACTACTCCAAAATTCTGTCTTACTCTTCCTGTGCATAACATTGTGTCACACTATACTAATGCTATTCCAGTTTCAGGAGTAATAGTTTTAACTATATTATACATTGCGACTGAGCAGTTTGCTAAAACAGTATAAAGCTTACATAAATGCTCTTACCTCTGCTTCATGTATCAATTTGACAAAAGGAGCCCCCCTGACTTCACTGTGCCCTATGGGGGGACCGTTAGCCAACACATACATGTTAAGTGCAACATACACTACACTAATAAATATGCACACAGTATAATATACCGTGTGTAAACTGGTGTTAAGAAGCTGTTACCTGAATGGATTATGCTCTTCCCACAATCCTGTTCACCCATGTCATGTATTCCACAACACTCAGCAATGCTGAGGTCAGCTTTGGCATTAGAAAACAGGAAATCTGTCAAAGCCAAAATACATGAATGGTGTGTCCTAGCATTGGTTGAGATGCACCTCTATGGTATCTAAAACCGAGATAAGGAATGGTACAGAACAAGATAAGGAACAGGAGGTGGGATCTTTGGTCATGTATAAAGTGTTTATTAACTGTTAAGCAGCCATAATACATATAGAGCTAGTTTTGGAGGTGTATCCTCAAAGTACACGAATTTGGTTAGTTGGTCCTTTTACTACACTTGTGGTTCATTAAGAATATTTAATCAATTGGCTACATATTAATCAACAATTAGGGTTTCCTGTATCTTTCATAAAAGGCTGTTTAGTCAAAATTTCAATGTTTTTATTTTAATACAATACAGTATCTCTGAAATACTTGGTGGTAATAATTTACAATACAGGTAGAGTGGAAAATACACAGAGAACCATACTACAGAACAAGAAAAGTACTGATAAACTTATGGTACTGCTCCATAGAGGAGCAGTCTGGAGCAATACACCCAGAATAAAGGCAAGATGAGCCACAGAGAGCCAACTGTGTTTTTAAATATAGATTTTTCAGTTGAAACAAATACTTACATTTTTTGTTGTTAGAGGTAAGTGTGAGTGCCATAATCTAAGTTATAGTATTTATCTGCCACCTAACAATCCCAGACACAATCCTAAATATTTTATTTGGACTTCAAAACTGGACCTAAAAATGTTCTTAGTTTTAAAATAACAAAATCAAAACTGGGCATAAAATTTAGACTGTGTCCAAGACGATTATTTTAATCTTCTCTACCCCATCTTTCCACCAAAGGTAAACACAGAATGGTATGGAGAAAGATTACTACTTACTTTCTAAGGTTGTTGAGCACCATGATGTTGGCGTACATGTAATACAAATAATAACTATATGGAGGATTCTTTTCACTGGTCCAGAGGTCAGGGTTAGGACTTCTGTTAGAGAACATGTGGTCGGTATGTTTAGACTCATCATCAACACTGTCAAAGCCAGTCACCTATGAAAAGGGATTCATAGGAACCTTTTTTTTTTTGATAAGCAAGTTTCAGAACTATCAACTCTAGTTTTATTAGAATATTAAAATAGCCACCTCCACCTGTAAGTACTTGCCCTCCTTCAGTCAGCAATCCTGCAACTCTGCTATTCTAGAGCATTGTTCCAAGATGCACAGGATGCAGAAGGCAGTTCTTCTGTGATGTGTGTCATAACAACTGAAGCAGCAATTCTACTCCATGGCTAGAACATTTGCTGGAAATTTTGGAATTGATCAGCTGCAGCTTTCAAAATTAAACTAATGTAATTATACAGCTTTACATAATCCAAATTGGTATTAACATTTTGTGAGTATTTTATTAAAGTAGAATCATCGATTTAGTAGTCCTTTCTCAACATGAAAGCAACTAGCTGGACAAATTAAGAGCATGAGGTGATATGGACATATTAACAAGCACAATTAGTATTTTTCTTTGATTGTTGACGGACCACTATGGAGGCCTTTATTGTTTAAGGAACTGAGTTTTTTTTCCCCCCAAAGAACTTTTAATTCTGCAGGGAGCCAGCAAAAGGGGCTTTTGTGGTGCTTACCAGAGCTTGTTCTTGTTCTCTGCACTAGCATGAATGTAGATTCACTACTCTCTTCTACAGGTAGAACTATTGGAAGGAGCCCTGTGCTGCTTCCAGGTTAAATAAATGGTGGTTGCTTGTCAACATGTTCTTACCCATATTTTTACTCAGGCATATGAGTGTTTAAAAAACATTAACAGCCTTCACAGGAGGGTTTTTAATAATAATGTCTGTGGCTTTCACAATCTCCCCTGATACAGAAACTAAAAATCTAACTGTGAAGAGAGGATCCATTTCGAGTAAGACACAGAAGAGCCATACATACTTACATATTTGAGGAAGAGGTGCAGCTCCCTGTGATCTGTGGGATTGACGGTTGCCTCAAACAGAGGTAAGAAGATGTTCTCTAACATTTTCCCAAAACTAGCCAGAAGATTTTTTGACCTAAATATGTCACTGAAAGAAGCAGATATACAACTGTAACTACTTTTCATTAGTCAGCCAACTTTTTTCCCTCCCTGACATACTCAGAAAACATTTTAGGGTCAGATTCAGATCTCCAAAGCATTTATCACATGGCTGGTGCTACACAAATATATATTTTGGGACCAGGGTAATGTTCCCTCTAATTTTTGACAGGCTGTGTGCGCAAAAAATTTCTTCTGTGCAAATTTTTGTGCGTGTGGTGTTTCGCCGTGTGCACGGGGTTTAGGATCTGTGTGCGCACGCACATGCGCACAGCTTAGAGGGAACAGTGGACCAGGGCTGTCTTTTTTTTCCTTCTTTGTTGTGTGTCTGTACAGCACCTAACACAATGGGGTCCTAGATGCTACTGCATTAGAAATAATAAATACACGTGTCAATAATAATAATAACAAATATCAGAGGGGTAGCCATGTTAGTCTGTATCCACAAAAACAATGAGGAGTCTGGTGGCACCTTAAAGACTAACAGATTTATTTGGGCATAAGCTTTTTTGGGTAAAAAGCCCACTTCTTCAGATGCATGGAGTGAAAATTACAGATGCAGGCATAAATATACTGACACATGAAGAGAAGGGAGTTTGGTTCGCAGCTTGTAAGGTAACTCCCTTCTCTTCATGTGTCAGTATATTTATGCCTGCATCTGTAATTTTCACTCCATGCATCTGAAGAAGTGGGCTTTTTACCCAAAAAAGCTTATGCCCAAATAAATCTGTTAGTCTTTAAGGTGCCACCAGACTCCTTGTTGTTTTAATAATAATAAAAATAAAAAATGTTACTGCCATGTATCAATCCTGAGAAATGTCTCAATTGTGAAAGCAAGTAACCCATTTCCTTAAAGGAATCCAGGCACTGAAAATGGAAAGAAGAGGTAATTGTGTGATTCAGTTTTCCAAATGAAGCTATTGCAAAGAAAAGTAAAACGTTCTGTCTCTTTGCAATACTGAAGTTTCTCTTTTGATAGTCCCAGTTTGCATGACTAATGCCATGGTCATCCCCTGATTTAGAATGTTGTGCAGGAAAGTTAAAGGAGAAGAACTCTCTCCCCAATGAGCAATAGGCCCGGGGTAGCTGTGCTATGCTGACAACTCCTCATATTATTTTTCTAGCTGCCTAAATTCAAAACGTGCACTTCAGCCACCATCTACTATGACAAATATCCATGGCAGAATTCATTAGTTACAGCATACATCATTTAGTATAGTAGTCCCTAAGGATGCTGAAAGATGCTGAAAACGGATATTGATTTAATTTTGTAATTTATAGTTTTAGTTGAAGTACCATGTTACTTGAATCGATTAGTCATGATCTTGCAGAAAACTCTCTGCCACTAAAAGTTTGGAAAGCATTTCCCTCTCCTTATACAGCATTTCTGGAATCAGATTCTGACTGTTTCAGCAATCAAAACTGTACGTGACATTTTGACCTGCTTTTGACAAATGTTTTTTTCAGCATTAAAAAAAAAAATGTAATTTGAGTTAAATGCTTATAAATATTTTTGAAGTCACTAGTTTTGAAAAGCTTGAAGCAGAATAAACTTTTAGTCCCACAAAGGAAGCCTGCAGCATTGAGTTAGCCATGCACTTAGCCATGAGGAAAATTCCCACACTTTTTTTTTTTTTTTAAATAAAAATAAGTACAGGACAGTTGGTAAAGCAGCTAAGGGGATATTAGACGAGAAAATGTATCCTTTTGCAAGATTTTAATCTGTTCTCATTACCAATAACTCCTGCTTACTTACTAAATTCTGGGAACCTGAATCACCCAGCGTATGTTGGGTGAATAAACCTTGTGTTCAATGAACCATGTTGCCAAATTTTGCCATTCATCTGGAGACCGCCCATAAATGGATAACCGAGGTTCCATATACTGGTATTTATTTTCTTCTAGTTCACGAGCTACTTCCTATTGGAGAACAACTCATTAATGTTTGCTTATGTAAGGACACAACGTATCATGCACATTTAGTGTTTTTGTCTACCACACTTTTTTCCCCTCAGATCTGCTTTACAATGGAATGCAGCTGAACAGAGTCTGGCAACTGTTAAACATAAAAGGAATCTCTTGTCATTCCTGCTAAACTATCCCATTTAGAATGCAGGAAGAGCTGTCACTTAGTGGCTAACTTTGAAATCTTTAAAACTGTGGAATTAAATGCAACCTTTGGCTTCAGAGGGCCTACCCTGTGCCTTGTGGAGTCACTTACACCACTCTATACTACATGTAATCAGAATGATAGCATTTTGCACTCCCTTTACACTGTTGTAAATGACTACACAGTGTACAGGACAGTGGAGAATCAGGCGCAGAATCTGTATGTCAATTGCCTCCTAAAAAAGTTATGCCATTAGTTTTAGTCAAACAACTGTGTAGGTGTGGAAAGAAACTGAGTAATGCATATGCAGGAGGCCTCTCCTCCACACTAGTTTGTTGCAAGAGTACTTTTGCAGCAATTGTGTCTGTATACCATTCCTAGCTCCCCAGTCTTTAATTTCTAGTGCTGAGGGCTCCCTATCATGTTCTGGGCCACAGTGTTCTATTACTGGTTGCTTCCCGTTAATTTGTAACTGCACAAGACTGAGGAGGCTTGGAACAGCCCAGGCTCCCCTGCAAGTTGGAGCATGTACAATTATACAGGAAACAGCAGGCAGTGATTGGCTCAGCAGAGGTCTCAGTCTGGTAACTTGGTACAGCAGCTTGAAGCCTTGGGGAATCTCCAAACCATTGTACATACTGTAAATTACTTCTACAAAATACTGTGCCAATACAGCTAGAGAGATACAAATAAGGGGCATCACTTACTATGGGGCAAGGTAGGCAATCCTCATCCCTGCAACTCTTCATAGGTATATATGCTCCATTATGTTGTTCTCTCTCTCTCTCTCTCTCACACACACACACACACACGTACGTTGCAGGATATGTAATCACCTTTTATATTTCTATAGGCTTACACAACTTCCTCTCTCCCTTCCAGAATTTTTCTGATAGGATATCCCTGGTACAAGTCTTATTTACCTTGACCATACGAGCAAAGTATTCACCACCAAGGTAGTTCTCAGTTTTCAGGTACAAGTCCCTTAGCTCACTGGCACCAACTGGATTGTACTTGGAGTTAAATTTATCAAACCGATGAAATGTTTGGCGACCCTGGAGGAAAAAAACATCTCAGTAGAGGTATCCAGATAGCAGTGGTTAAGAACTACCTAACCGTTTTCTGCTAAGATTGTTTTCTAACCACAAAACTGTTAGGAAAGAAACAGCCTACGAAAATCCTTGTTTACAACATACTGACAAATAATTTAAGCACTGTTTTTTTGGGTATATATTTTTTTAAATATCATTCAACAGATGCAGCAAAAAACTCTTTCCCTTCCCTTCCCCCCAAGCAGTTTGCACTAACAGAGAGCTGGTTATTCTCCATTTTATTTGTTGAGGGAATAGACTTACAGCATGGACATCTAAAGAGTCTACAGTGAGGTCATAAGGATCCATGTGAAGGCTCTCAAACACTTGTTTTAAAGTCATCTTCTTGCCTTCTTTCTCTACAACAATCCGATTTGACTCTGTTTTGTAAGTGCGCTTAATAAACTTCAGCAAATGTTTCTGATTCATGCAGGCAGCAGCATGGATATGAGTATCAACCTGAAATAAAAAACAGATTACTCTTGTTTAGCAGACAGTACATGGCCTTTATCTATCCAAAAAAAAAAAAAAAAAGGAGGACTTGTGGCACCTTAGAGACTAACCAATTTATTTGAGCATGAGCTTTCGTGAGCTACAGCTCACTTCATCGGATGCATACCGTGGAAACTGCAGCAGACTTTATATACACACACAGAATATGAAACAATACCTCCTCCCACCCCACTGTCCTGCTGGTAATAGCTTATCTAAAGTGATCATCAAGTTGGGTCATTTCCAGCACAAATCCAGGTTTTCTCACCCTCCACCCCCCCCACACACAAATTCACTCTCCTGCTGGTAATAGCCCATCCAAAGTGACAACTCTCTACACAATGTGCATGATAATCAAGTTGGGCCATTTCCTGCACAAATCCAGGTTCTCTCACTCCCTCACCCCCCTCCCAAAAACCACACACACAAACTCACTCTCCTGCTGGTAATAGCTCATCCAAAGTGACCACTCTCCCTACAATGTGCATGGTAATCAAGGTGGGCCATGTCCAGCACAAATCCAGGCTTTCTCACCCCCCCCCCTTTTTTTTTTCCCCCAGGGACACACACACACAAACTCACTCTCCTGCTGGCAATAGCTCATCCAAACTGACCACTCTCCAAGTTTAAATCCAAGTTAAACCAGAACGTCTGGGGGGGGGGGGTAGGAAAAAACAAGGGGAAATAGGCTACCTTGCATAATGACTTAGCCATTCCCAGTCTCTATTTAAGCCTAAATTAATAGTATCCAATTTGCAAATGAATTCCAATTTAGCAGTTTCTCGCTGGAGTCTGGATTTGAAGTTTTTTTGTTTTAAGATAGCGACCTTCATGTCTGTGATTGCGTGACCAGAGAGATTGAAGTGTTCTCCGACTGGTTTATGAATGTTATAATTCTTGACATCTGATTTGTGTCCATTTATTCTTTTACATAGAAACTGTCCAGTTTGACCAATGTAAATGGCAGAGGGGCATTGCTGGCACATGATGGCATATATCACATTGGTGGATGTGCAGGTGAACAAGCCTCTGATAGTGTGGCTGATGTTATTAGGCCCTGTGATGTGTGTGGGGGGGTGGAGGGTGAGAAAACCTGGATTTGTGCTGGAAATGGCCCAACTTGATGATCACTTTAGATAAGCTATTACCAGCAGGACAGTGGGGTGGGAGGAGGTATTGTTTCATATTCTCTGTGTGTATATAAAGTCTGCTGCAGTTTCCACGGTATGCATCCGATGAAGTGAGCTGTAGCTCACGAAAGCTCATGCTCAAATAAACTGGTTAGTCTCTAAGGTGCCACAAGTACTCCTTTTCTTTTTGCGAATACGGACTAACACGGCTGTTACTCTGAAACCTGTCTTTATCTATCCAAGTACCTCTGTGTCATACAGAATTATAAAAATGTTACACAATATTTCTCTTTAGGAATCAGATGGCATGGGATATTACATCCCTCAAAATATTTCAGCTCCTGGGTCCCAAGAGGCGAGGAAGGGGTGGGGGGAAGGATTACATTACATTTACATAGTGCTCAGTGAGTATTTTTTTTAAGGATATTCTGTTTTTCCACAGTTTTAAACTAGAACATAAAAACCACTGATAGATTAAACTAAAGAGAGCGAATAAAAAACCTGGAACTCTTAGGACTACATCCTGCCCTGCATCCCCAATGGAGAAGAAGTTGAGTAACAGGGTTGTACATAGATGATCTCTTTCCAGGACTAAATAGAATCCTTCCCCTCACGCTGCAAAGTGGGAGCATTGCTGCTCCACAGGCATTCTGTGCAGTCTCCAGCATACTGCTGCCAGTACAGTGCTGTAATCCTTCACTGTGCTGTGTAGAATAGCTGCTGGATCTGTGTAGTTGCACATGTCCTCTTTCCTCATCTGTTCCTCTCCTGCACCATCCCAGACTCTGTTGTGTGCTTCACTTGTGCAATCTCTTCCTTCCATGCAGTGGAATGACAGTTCTACTGTTGTCAAGGATCTTCACAGTCACAGCAGATCTTGGTATGAGATAGGATTTGACCCGTAACTGACATTAAGAAAATGGCTTCACCTTTTGAGGACCCATTTTGCAGTTTATATACCACCATGTTATTGGATCCATTTATGAATCACTGGCGTCTTTGAGCAGACTACTAAAGTAACCTTTCTCCTTGTATCCCTGGGCAGGAATTGGCTACAGTCTCCTCTGAAAGAGCAGGTGATGCTAATGCTGATATAAGTACTTCAAAGGGGTGGAGTAGTAGTGGGCTCGGAGCTCTATTGAACCCACCAGCAGAGCTGCACCTCATTAACAAAGTGGCACAGTGGCTATTCCAGAGTTGCACTTGGTGTGAACCTGCATGAGAAATTCTGGTTGATTCAATCCAAATTTCCCCTGGTGGCTTGTGAGGAGGTGTCAATCCCACACCAGCCCAGCTGGGGTGAAGGTGGTGTGGAAGGGGTCAATTAACCCTACAGGCTGCAGCTGGGGGGAGAGTCAGGCTTGGCTGATAAGCACTAATTGAAGATGAAGCCCAGCTGGTCAGGAGCAGGCTGGTTTATATAAAGCCAGAGATTGAGCCCAGAAGGGGATTGTAGAGAGAATGAGAATCCAGTTGTTCTCTGGGCACAGGGAGGTGAGTAGGAAGAAATCCAAGAAGGAGCAAAAGCTATGGGATCCTGTCTGTGATAGAAGAGGTTTACCCAGAGGTATTGTGGGAATGAAAGCCCGTGGGAGGTAAACATACCTAGCTGCCACCTCTTCCATCAGCATAGGTAATATCTGCCCTGGAGCACAACAGTAGCTCAGCAGCTGAGCTACTGTAGCATTTTAAGTGTAGACATGCCCTAAGTTAAGTGTAGAGCTGTGTAGTGTCATGCATATACTCTGACAGGCATAATGATGTAAGTAACAAAGCTATTTTTACTGCTTTAATACAGTGGTGTTTGTGCATTTAGCTGTTTATTCTAGACCTCTCTGAATAGAACTAACTTTCTGCTGTATGTTGCATCACCTCAGGTACTCATGTGATGTAACCACCTAGTTGAATAGTGATCAGTACATGGCACACTTAAGGCCAATTGCCATCCAGCTTCTTTAATTGCCCTATTTCCTGGCACATCCATTTGCACACGAACACCCCCCCCCCCATCTCCATGCACAAGCTGTTTGTTTGTTTATGCAAATACAACATCTGTATGTGCAGACTGCCTGTGGGCAGGCCAGACTGATGTATGTATGTGTGCACCATGGCTTCTGCTGGAAGGCTTGCAGAAGAGATGCATTGTAATAGGAGCCCTGTTGGGGTTCACTCATCCCTAGGGCATCCCCTTGGGGCTAGGTCTGAGGAACAGATATCGTGCTGTATAGTGTCCCCTTCTGTTGCTCACTTGCCCTGCAGGCCCTTTTGCTCTCCAGGATTCTCTGTGATTCAGCCCTCCGGCTAGGCCGCTATATAGTTGCCCCCTCCATCCTGCTTCTGGGGTATCAAAGTCCCTCTGGACCAGCTATCTGCCTCATATCTCTAACGATCCTATGCCACTTCCCAACTGCTACTTCAGGTTTGAGCCCAGGGACCCTACAATCAGCAGGCAAGGTCTACATAGTCTCAACCTTTGCTGCTCTTTCTGTGAGAAGCCCTGCCTACATCAAGGGTCAGGTCAGCATAGCTATTTCTCCCAGGGACACAAGGTCATAGTGTAGACTAGCCCTTACAGATGCTCAGGGTGTTGAAAGATTTTGATTCTGGACATAGGCATCATGTTCATTGTCAACAGTCTCTTGACCAATGAAATACTAGAGACTAGTTGGTTTGGCTGATTCACTGAGCTCCTCAGGTACAGTTAATAGATACAGTTTGTTCCCTAACTTCCAAGGGAAACAGTTATTAAACATAAAATCCAAGCTTTAGTAAACCTGAGTAGAATGCAACTCCCAGATGCTGTAGAACCAGAGGAGACTCCACCTCTTGTAATTCATAAACCTTGTAGACCACCATTCCCTCCTTTTCAACCCAAAATGAACACACCTTTGAAGGAAAAGATTGGAAGCTTATTTACTTGCTGTCAAAGATCAAGTGACCGATCAGCAACTGCAGCTTCTTTAAAGTCACTCTACTCATGAAACAATTTTTTTTCCCCTCTCAACAATACAGGGGTGATTCAAGAGGATCATGTAATGTCTCTAAAGCATTCTCATTACTCTGCCACAGATGCCACCATATCTGAGCTAAGATCAGGAAGCTTATTCCCAAAGAAACATGACTCTACTCATTTTCTAAATGTATTAATTACCCAGTGGTGTGATCTCTTTCCTGGCACCTCTGTCACTCTTTCTGCCAGAGTACTCCAGATTCCCTGGCTACCTCCCTGAAATATACCCAATAAATTTTTACCTCCATGAGTGTGGCAAACTGAGAACAACAAAAATTATTTGAGTATAATGCAGTACTGAGCTTCTGGAATGTACTTAGAAAAGTGATCTGTATGCAGTACTGCATAACTTATTAACACACATTTATGCACACTCACCATTCAAACTCTGAAGATCAACTTGGATAAACCAGCTAAAAATAGAAACCTGAGTACATATCTGCGTCATCCTATATGATTTTGACTGGAGTTGTACAAGAGTTTGTCTTTGAATGCAGCATAAAAAATTGTTTTGTAGTGCTGTGTGATCAACCCATCCTCCACAAATTTGTCTTTATTTGAAATTTCATCAAATGGCTATTTTTAACATAAGCCTATGAAAATGTAACTGTGTACATTACTTTTCCATTATGAAAAGCATTTTTGGTCGAAAATGGGAGCCCATTTTCACTCAAATAGTGGTCTGTGTATGTATACAAAAAAATTTTTTGACTTCTTGTTACAGTGCCCAAAGTGTGCTAAGGGTTCTATAGACAGATCTAACGAGTCCCTGCCCCAAAGACCTTTTACATTCTACCTTAATTACATCAAATACAGACAACAGAGAG